TGTCGCGACTGCGGCACCGCCCCGGCGACAGCACCTGGAGCCGGTGACCCCCCGGTGACCGCCGCTCCTGCCGGCGGGGGTGCCGAGCCCCGGTGTCCCCAGCCTCCGAGGCACCTCTAGCGCAGTGTGACGGGGAAGTCCCGCTGGCAGTAGGAAAAGTGCGGCTGCAGCCCTGCAGGGAAGCATTTCTCCCTCATCCCAAGGCGCAGGGGGGCTGCGGATGCACTGCACCCTTTGCACTGGTGCTGCAGCGGGGAGCGGACCCGCCTTTCCCTGCGCAAGGCCGGTTTCCCTGCCCCTGCTCTCCAGGGTGTGATGGAGGGGATGCTGCAGTGTCCCCTCAGAGGCTGGGGACACCCTGATCTGAGGACAGCAGCCCTCTGGGTCCACCAGCTGGGCACCGACAGCAGCAAAAGTAATAATAAAGAGTAAATATGTATATATATATATATATTTAAAATTCACAGAATGGTTTGGATTGGAAGGGACCATAATGATCCTTCAGTTCCATCCCCTTGCAATGGACGAGGACAGCTTCCTCTAGACCAGGTTGCCCAGAGCCTCATTCAGCCTCCCTTTGAACATTTCAGGGATGGGGCAGCCACAGCTTTTCTGGGCAACCTGTGCCAGTGCCTCACTCCCCTCACAGTAAAGAATTTCTTCCAAATATCTAACCTAAAAATACTCTGACAATTGGAAACCATTGCCCCTTGTCCTGTCACTCCAGGTCCTTGTGAATAGCCTGTCTCCATCTTTCTTGTAGCTCCCTCCAGGTAGTGGAGGGCTGCAATTAGGTCACCCTGAAGCTTCTCTTCTCCAGGCTGAGCAATCCCAATTCTCTCAGCCTTTGCACATAGGAGAGGTGCTCCATCCCTCAGACCATCTTGGTGGCCTCCTCTGGATGCTCTCCAATAGGTCCATGTCCCATACACAAATGCAGCCCTGGGGTACTATTGCACTCTACACTCAGAATACATCTGCAGTAGTGCCATTGTCTCTGGTCCACGTGGAACTGAGGCTTGGGAAGCTTCCCTTTGGCACACCAAGGCTTAAGGAGGTTGTTCAGGATTGAACCTCAGCCAAGAGACTCCTCTCAAGGTCAGATGTGAAACAGCAGATGCACAGGGTTCAAACAGGGAGATCTTCAGCCTCCACACAGCAGGTGACCAAAATGTTTGTATGCTTGGAGTCAAATTCCAATCTGGTCTCAAAAATAAGTCTTGAATAATGCCTGCCATATCTATTTTTCATCTTCTCTATTGCAGTCAGTGCAGGCTCTTTTCAGACAAGTAGTTCTTCAGTCAGGAGATGGGTGTCTGACTGGAAAACTCTCCCCTGACCATCACAGCCCATGGGAGGTGACCCTCCTCTTCCATCCAGGGGCACCATGCAAATTGGATTTGCCAAACTGCTGGAAATAAGGTAGAAAACTTACAGCTCTGCTTCATGCTGAAAATTTCAAAGCACTTGGTAAAAATCTATTCAAAGAGAAGATGGAGAGGGGATCTAATAAATACACACATAAATATCTCCAAAGTGGGAGCCACAAGGAAGGTCCCAGACTCTTCAGTGGTGCCCAACATCAGGATGAAGAGCAATGGCCATAAAATAAACCACAAGAAGTTCCATTTCAACATGAGGAAGAATTTATTGACATGGAGGTGGAACAGCTGCCCAGGGAGGGTGTGGAGTCTCCCTCTCTGGAGACATTCCAAACCCCCTGGCTGTGTTCTGTGTCACTGCTCTGGGGGACCCTGCCTGGGCAGGGGGTTGGACTGGGTGATCTCCAGAGGTCACTCCAACCCTGACAATTCTGTGATTCTGATGTTTTCACTTGTTGTTGACGTTCTCCTTAAGGTTCTGAATGACTCCTAGAGGGCTCAAGAGGGATGTGCTATGGGGAGAAAGCAAGATTTCTGACAGTTTTTGTAAATTTTTACTTTAAATTTTGTAAATTTGTCAGTTCTTTAAAGGTGGTTTGAGGAAGATGCGGTGCTCTGCATAAATCAAATTACATGATCCGTGAGCTGTGTATCATCAGCGTGCTTGAGTTTTGTCAGGATGTTTTAATGAAGTTTCAGTGTTTACACTGCAGTCTCTTTCTCTTAGAAAAATGGAGAAATAACACCTTAAATGAGCACCCAAATTTTGTTTATACACAAAAGCCACGCTGTCCTGATGCTTGCTCTCTGTGAGCAGGCAGGCTGGCATTTTTCAGGGATTGAATGGAGCTGGGAGAGGGCAGAGCTGGTGGGCAGGAGCTGAAGGACAGGAGTTGCTGCTGTGCTGTGACCCAAGTCACGGGACTGCTGTGCCATGTGCTGTGGAGAGGGGAACAGCACAGAGCCAGCCCGGGCTATTGTAGCATTCAATTAGTGCTTACACAGTGCCTTGAATAACTCACATGAAAAGCTGACTTATTATTATTGTTATTATTGTTATTATTAAGCTAACAGTATATTCTCTGTGGAGCTCATGAAGAGGAGGTGACGCACAAACAGCACATACAGTAGCAGCTGCATGTGAACAGTGCCCCAGGAGTTATAAAGAAAAAAATTACCTTAATAATGGTTCCTCTGCTGTGGTGGGATTTTCCTCCCTTTAATTATAGTTGCTGTTTTCATTTGAAATTGATTAAGTGTTTTAGGATGGCAAATAGAGCTGGTCTTTCTAAAAAGAACACTCAAAGACATCCAGCCCCAGCTAGGAGTGGAACATTTTTATTCCTTTCTAAAGGACTCAGAATTTCTTTCTTCCGAAATGGGAAGAAGATGACTGGGTTTGGCGTTCTCCAGAACATCTCACGATTCTCCCACACTAAGGAGAGGTGGACACCTGTACCATGGGACTTCTTGGAGAGGGTAAGACCTCATCAGAGGAGAACCCACCATCCTGATTTTAATTACCTGCTTTGGATGGAAGAGGCAAGGACTGGCAAGTGCTGCTCCCTGTGGAAGGTATTTACAGTGATCTCTCTTCCAGGGCATCTGCAGTGAAGGAGGGAGCACCTCATTTCTGAAGTTAAAACACTGTTGTATCATTTGTCGTGAATTAAAGACCCCCTACCTCTATTATTCTCAGCAACCTTTTGGTGTTCCTCTTCCATTTTCATTCATCCAGGTAAAAACAGTTTCCAGCAGCACTGCTCAGAAGTAACCATTGCACAATTTTGGTAGTGTCATAATTACATCGTTTTCCTGCCACTTTCACTCTGAATGCTGTGAAGGCATCACAGACCTCTTATGCAATCGAGTTTTATCGGCTCGGAGAGGTGCTGCTGTGGGGAAGGTTGAGGCTTTTGCAGTTTCTGCTTTAACACTTCTGCTGCCCTCTGGTGTTTTAGATATCCGGGACGAGGAGTCACCTTGGGTGATTCCATGCTATCCGTGCTCGGGAGAGGTGGAATTACAGAGCTGGCTTGTTCATAATCAGGGAAGAAAAGCGAGGCACTTTTCAGACCATATCCACGAGGATGTTCCTTCTCGAGGAACTGGGAGGACACAGCTGCTAAGTTTTTCCATTGCAGCAGCTCTGTGCTCCCTCCCTGCGGGCAGCATGATCTGTGCATGGGAATGGAGACTGATGCCTTCCAGAACCCATCTCGCAGATATTTCCAGCAATTCAGCCTTTAGTCATTTCACTCAGCATTTTCTATCAGTTTCAAAACAAACTAACAACAATAGCAACTTTCTTCACTTGGCAAAAAGAAAACAAACCAAGAAGTGGAGACATTCCTTTCTACCCATTTCACCCTCCACAGCTAAAGCTAAAGTCAGCCTGGTTTTCTGTGGCAAGTTTGCTGGGGCACTGCTTGCAGTAGAGCTGTGGATATTAGGGTTTTTTTCTTTTCTCTTTCTATTTCTTTTTCCCAGGGTGGGTGGTGTAGTTTGGTTTGTTAATTTTATTTTTTTTTTGTTGGAGTTTTTTGTTTGTTTTCCAGCAAATACCAGTATGACTATTACAAAAATGAGATTTGTTTGACTATTTTACACAATTAATTGAGTAAAACCTTGTTGAAGTCATCTGGTCACACCAAGTTAGATTCTGGCCGAAAAAGAAGTGGAAGGGAAGGTGTCACATTACAAAAAGTATAGTGACATTTGAAGCAAAGAAGATGAGATAATCAACTAAAATACTTGTAGGCTTATTTCAAAGACAAAAGCATTATCTTGAAAAAAATGGTGCATGACTGTTTCTAATATGACTTCAAAGTGTCTTTGAATTTGAAAAAATCCAGGCTGCCACTGCAATTTTGGCAAAAATACTTTAAAGCTAGGATGTCCTTACTGAGGCACCACAATGGTATCCACAAATATATTTCAGGCCACTGGAATGTCTTTGGTCATAACATTGCATCACGGTTACATAATTACCATCACAACAATGATATTTTGTCATTAAGGTTTATGACATTTCATAATTAATGAGGCAATGACATCTCACTGACATAATACATCAAGCTTGTCTTGCAGGATAAAGGGACACAGACCTTCTCCTCATCATTCCTCCTTATCTAGGGCTAGGAAAAAGCTTCTGAAGGGGTCACCACCTTGTATGTTTGGGTTCTTCATTCTCCTAAATAATATGGGGTACAAAATCTGCCTTCATGCTGAGGCTCTGAGTGCCTTTGTTTGTATAAAAGGAAGTACAAACACAGAACAAATGAGGTGGTCTATGCCCTTGAGAGCATCTCTGTTTCATTGTAATAATTTCCCTTCCATGTTTGTCACTTACAGTGCTCCACTGTGCTGGGACAGGTGAGCCTGACTGACAACTGCAACAAATACATGAAAAAAATATGTAGAAAAGGAGAAGTGGGAGAGGTTATTTCCATTGCCCAGGATTAAAGAAAAAAAAAAAAAAAGCAGAAGCTCAACAGCCAACATGGAACAATGGCTTTTGAATCAGGGTTTTTCCAATTAAGATTAATGACCAAAGGTGGTCGTGGTAGTAAAAGAGAATACACATCTGTAATCTAGCTGTGCCTATCTAAATTTAGATGATAATCACTTTGTTTATATCTCTTAAAACATCCATCTTCCAGGTATCCTGCAAGGTAAAGCACTTATTCTACCAAAATTTGGCTGAAGAGGACCAGAATCCTCTGGGTCTGAGCACATCTGTGTTACTGTTGGCATCAGGATGAGACAGGCAGGGACATTCCTGGGGCAGAACCACCTGGACTTCAGATGCCTCCAGACCAACACTTGGAAATGGCACTTTCCCACCAAGACCATACAATCTTCACAGACAAAAAGCGCAAAAGATAAGGAAAATATGTGACTTCCCTCACTTTACTTGCTTTATGGCTGGGAGGGCAAAAAGACTACAAGGATGAAGTGTCTTTCCCATGGTGGCGATGAGGCAGGTCTGTGACACAGCTGGGAAATACCTTTGTGTGTCCTGAGCTCAAGGAAATTGCTTTAACTCCATCCTTCACACTGAAATTAGATGATTAATGTTAATCTTGCAGTTGGTATAAATACAGTTATGTACATGCTGGCTTTAACACTGTCTATACAGGAGGCAGCTCTTATATGTGATTTTTTCTCTCAGGCTGGACTTTCTGTGAGATTAGTACTTGTAGTTTAATGTTATCCTCCCACTCCCAGATGAAATGTGGACAGGGAGCAGGTCAAACAGAGACAGCTGCCTTCTGGTACTCCCAAGCTTTGCCGCTCTTTGCCAGCAGTTTCTGTTGAAAGCATGTATTGCTTCTCACTGCTGCCTGAAACATCCCTAAACACTGTAGTAGCTCATGTGTTGCTTTGTTGTTTGGGGTTTTTTAGGCCACACTTTATCAGGGAAGTTTAGCAGTGTAAGATCAGTCAGAAGCTGCCAGCTCCCAAAGCAAAAAATAAATGCTTAGTAGACTTCAGATATGAGAGCAGAGGTGGCAGGGAGACGTGTCCATGAGCCATTTGACTGGGGGTTTAATTCCTGTGAAATTATCATTCCCCTTCTCCTCGTGTCAGATCTTTTCTCTTTGAGATCTGTACAGAAGAGTTGGGGGAATTCTGCCAGCCTGATGGGAGTGGTGGGAAACCAGGCCCTGTCCAGCGAGTCTGGGAACCTTCCCATGGGCAGGAGACTGAAGGCTGCTGTCCTGGAGCTGCCATGAGGTGTTCCAGCTGGGAAAGACCTGCCAGTTATCCTTCAGCCAGTGCAGGGACTGGGTGTCTGCTCCTGAGCTGGGCTGGAGGAGCAATCTGTGAGGGCAGGAAGGGAACTCAGCCTCGTTCCTTTTGGACTGACCGTCCCAAGTGTCCTGTTGGGTTTCACGGGAGTGCCGTAGGATGTGGGGTGGCCCCGGCCGTGCAGCTGTGGGCGCCGTGGACACGTGCCCAACAGGAAACATCCCGAGACAATGGAATTCGCTGCACACGTATGTTCTCTGTTGGTGGCTCTGCTGGAAACAGTGACCTGAGCCAGGCAGTTTTGGTGTCCCCTCGCTGCAGCCTCCACTCCCCTCCCCGCACCTGATGAGTGATTCATGCGGAAAGCTCCAAACCATTCCCCAGGGACAAAATTAATAAGGGCCCCCTCACTTTTCCTCTATGTTCATGCATTAGAGTCTGAGATCCACCGTGCTCTCGCTGCAATTTGAAATGGAAAGGCAATCTCATCCCCAGAGTCCCAGGTAATTGCTTCATCTGCTTGTGCCTGCCTGTACCTCTGCCAGGCAAGGGGATGTGCACAGGCTCCTTTGAAAGGGATTTTAATGTCATTTGTCTACTGCACACCAAGAAATCAGGAGCTTCTCCCCTCCCCCTTCCCCTTCTCTACTTTGCTCGCTCCGAAAGAAAACAGAAACAAAATAAAAGTTGTGTTTACAGCACAGCGCCGGTGGTACAGTTATTCCACAGGGAAAACCTGATATATCCACCTATTGTCTGAGGCACTACCAGGAGCCCTTCGTCAATGAGCAAGTTACGAAAACAGGTATCCTTCCTCAGAGATTGATGCGATATTTGCGTCGGATATTTCCTGCCATGCAGCACAGATTGTTTGTGCCGGTGCACAAGTGAGAAATGCGGCTTTCCAGCAGGGGGAAGAACTGTTGCAACACACCTTTATTGTCCTCCTCTGGAACAGCATATTCAATTCCTTTTCCACCCATCCATGCCTGCAAATACATTTCCTATAATTGCTGCTCTGTCAGATGCGCTGTAACCCGTCCCCTCCTACGTCAGCTGCATTGTTGTCACCCCCCTCCGATGTCAGGAAAACTGTGATCCTGCTCTTACGTTACTTGGGAGCTGCGTCTCCAGCATTTCCAATTGCATCCACCCGGAGTCGGGCAGAGCCGGGACACAGAACAAAACCACCGCTGTGTGGACCAGGAATGTGACGAGTCCTCTGGTGCTTTGGGTGTGCACGTGGGTTGTTTGGAACTAAGTGCATTTTCCACACGGGGAGGCTGGCATTCTGCAGTCACTCACCAGACAAAGGTTCCCCTGTGAGGAGCTCTGCAGAGTTTTTTGCGTGGCGTTGAATCATGCGTGATGTGTTCTTACACACTGGTTCTGCACGTGGGCTGTGATGGAGGGGAGGACAATAAATAACCTTTCAGAGGACAAAGGGTTAGCAAAATTCCTGCTTTGTGCGTCCTAGCTGATGAAATGACTCCAGTGAAGCACGAGTGGGGGAGGTGGGTGGGCTCACAGTTTGTGAGTGGGACACCAAGACAATCTATTTTCAAACGTGCACACGTGTGTTACGCTCCAGTCCCAGGGCTGAGCAAGAGCCTATGAACAATAACACATGGAAAATGTCTTATGTGCAATTCTTGGTACAAGCCAGCCCTGAGTTTCCAGGGAAGAAAAGTACAGGGCATATGGCATCTAAATATATGCCATCATGGATGACAAGAAACATGGAAGAACTTTTTGGATGAGGTTGTTTGCTGACATCCTGAAAATATCTTTCACAAGACAGATACTGACAAGACAACTCAAAACCAGATGGTTCTCCAGTGATGGTTTCACAAGAGCTTTGAGTTTGGGGTGAAGTAAGCAGTTTGTGCTACTGGAGCAGATTGATTGTGACTCCTCAAATAGGAAACCAGATG